GTTCAATCACAGGAACGCGAATCATCGCGATGCACAGTTGTATCGCGTGGCCGTGGTGCTCATGTTGTTCTCGCCTGTAGTGACACCTGGTGGAAGACAACACGCACTGCTCTGAGCCGAGATCGCTCCGAGCCGAGAAACTTGAGTCAACAAGTCGAGCGCACTCGGGTCATATAACTCATATGACTGAAGTTATCCATCATCTCAGTTGACTCAATTGAAGCAAATAGAGTATGTATATGTGTGTGGATGAGGTGACATCGCCCCAAGCACCAGCGCCGTGCCGGTGCGCTTGTGAACAGAGGCGCGCGGTTTGAGCCGGCAGGCTGCCCTGCATAATACTAATACCGGCGGATGAACCGTGACGTGCCACGCGCCGTCTGATTCACGGTGGACTTTCAAAACCGCCTGACGTCGTTCGAAACGAGGTGACCGTTGCGTGTCGATGTCACGCGGTTCAAATTGGTCAACAAAATAAATAAATAAATTCTACATTTGAAGCTTTCGTGACTGCAAGGATTCCTATTCTTAGGTTTTTTCGGTAAAGTCACGTAGGTACAAAATAAAAATTTAATTAATAAAAGTAAAATAAAGAATTAAATAAAAATCACGACGTTTCGGAGGCAACACAAGCCTCCGTCTTCAGGTGGAACCGTCACAGCACGATAGCTGTATCAAGTAAGAGAAATTCCAAGAAAACAGTCCTTGTATATATACTGGTTGAGGGTGGGAGGAGCCAAGGTAGGCCCTGGATATTATTATTGTGAGGCTGAAGCACGCTGTTAGGAATGAGGCTGAAGCACGCTGTTAGGAATGAGCCTTTGTTGTGTAGACTGGTTGAAAAAAGTTGTTCAGGTGAGGCTGATGTAAAGGTGCGTGTAAATTGGACTGAGCCTTTTGTTATGTAGAGGTGGTGAGGCTGAAACCGCTGCCAGGAATGAGTCTTTGTTGTGTAGACTGGTTGAACTGGGAGGTTCTAAGAGTTGTTTAAAGCTAGCCTATCACTGACCTCGTGGCGTGACCCCGGGGTCCCGCCACGAGGTTCACACGACGAAATGGGGCCACGTGACCCCTTGACTGCGAACCCACTGCAGACTTTGCGAAGCGCAGTGCCTCGCCACTGCCACAAGTAAATGATTGTGTCCGTCGACTTTAGTGATGCTCAGCATTGCGTGTGCCGCCCTCGTCATCAGCGTCGTCACGATCCATGGCACGGAGAGCCCCTGAGTAACCCACTGCCATCTTCGTCATTTGTTGTTTCCACTTTCCTCTGCCCTGTGCCAATATGCTCGAGTAGTTGCCACATCTCTGTGGCACCAAATGTCTTCATGTCGCCAGGGCATTCCCTGTTAGGTCTTCCCCGCTTAATAATCCATTCAATAATTAATTACCGTCATCATTCATTCGCAGGTTTACAGCCATGTGTCAACCCACTGCTGGCTGAAGGCCTCCCTATGGGGTGTCAGTTATGGGGGATCGTTTAGCCATACTTCACCACGCCTGCTATACACGAGGTCGTGGGTTCGATCCCGACCCTGACGTCCGTCTACTGTATTTAGAGTTTGCGTAGATGTTTTTTTTCTCCGGGTCCTCCAGTTTTTCCCTCCACATTTACAATCAACACGCGTTTGGCCGATTTGGCTGCTTTAAATGTCCACGTGATGATAATGTTACGTCGTAGAACTATCATTTGTGATGACCAGCTCGCTTCGGCAAAAAGAGCCACGTAGCTCACCTGCGAAAGTAAAACGTTTGGTTGAGTTTTTAGCTCGTAAAATCACTCGCCACTGATGTTAGCCGTGGCCGGGAATCGACGCCGTCGTGATGAAATGTTGCATGCACGGCACGGAGCAGCACTGCGATGAGGGTCTACACGCACGCGTCTCAAATGCAACTCTAAACTCTCCACGAGCGCGGCATTCTTGAGCAGCAGGGGGCGGAATGCGACCAGGATGCTACGACTCGCATTGCGATACAATTCCTGTCGGCTGCAGGAACCCATTTCAAACGAGTGAACGATGACATCTGACTTTCGGGAAATATTGAGGCGTTACAGAAGCGAGAGCCGTCAGCTATGTTGGAGGATAGGGGGGGGGGAATGATTGAGGTGAGGGTGATGTTGATAAAGAAGCGGTAGGTAGATATTAGGGCTTAATGATTTGGGGGAAATATCTAATTGCGATTTTTCTGACAGATATTGCGATTGCGATTTGAGATTAAATGTTATTAAGTCAATCTTCAGTTCAATAATCACTGTGTAATAGATTTAAAACATGCGATAGAGCTTTACCACGTGATACCATCAAAATGTGAACTGCTATATATTGTAATGCAAAAATGAGAACTTAAAAGGTTTGAAATGCCTACAACATGTATTTATTAAAATAGTTTTAATTGAAATAGAACAATCAAACATAGAACAGTTGTGAAGTTAAATAAATACAATTATTATAGTAATAATAAATTAAACAATTCCAATGACAAAGTAATGGCACTTTCCAAATCGCAGCCTTTGCTATTTGCTAATAGCATTGTTTCAAATTGCGATTTCGATTTGAAATCGATTCATCGTTCAGCCCGAGTAGATATCCAGACGATGGCGCTGGGTGGTTTGTCGGCTCGGCTGGAGAAGACGGTTCGAGGGAGCCCTCGAGAGAGAGAATCCGCGGGGTGAAGAAATTATTCGGAATAATTCTGAAGGCATCGCCGCACTTATCGCAACCAAATGGCCTCACTGATGTCCGCGGGCGGTCAGGGGGGGGGGGGGTCTCAGAGGGGTTGGGGATTCCCAAGGGAATATTGTCCCCGGTAGGCTGCAAAAAAAGTCTCCGGAGTGAAGAATTCAAAAGAAATTGCGGAACGACTGAAGTTGAACGGGCAGTTTAGTTGGTGATTGCTTGAGCCATGAAGAAGGGTCGTTGTCTGAAACGTCCCCTATGTTTTCCTTTAAATTCCGCAGTGTTTTTGACGATTGTGTGAAATTACAAAGTGTAACAACATCTTCAGAGTGGCGTATTCTAAAAGGCAATCATGGAGTTTATGATGGATCGCTATTCAGACCATTCATAACCCTGGAAATGCATTTAGACTTCAATTCAGCGAGACTGATATCGCTTCTTATGCAAAGCCGGGCTGGCTGTCTGCTTAAAATACAGGGTGCTTAAAACAATCTTTACACTTATATGGGACTATCGTTTTGAATGGAAAAATTACGGATAATAAAACACTGTAACACGATAAAAAGAAATGTGATGTTAATAGCTTCAAAAAGTCAAAGAATCTCCACGTGTTCGCCATCGTTGTCAACGCGTGCCTGGAATCTTCTCCAGGTGGTCTCCAGAGCCCGGAGGCAGCACATTTCTCGTGGTGTTGTTGCAAATTCTCAGAAGTGTCAACATTTCTTTGAAGCATCCCCTGTATATTTAGCGTTACTCGGTTTCATTTTGTAAGTCGGAGAAATGACTCCGGTAGACACATTTTACAAACTCCACCAAAAAACGTGTTCATTAATCATATCATACTCGTACTACTGTACTAGAAAAATTAATTGTCTAACTAAACTCGTTAGTCTTCGTAGATCCGACGATATTAATCACCAAAGATTAAAACAATATGTATAGAAACAGACAACAGGGCAAGTTCAATAAAAGTGTGTCAAAATTGTCTCCTGCCTGGATTCCTGTCCGTCTGGCTGGCGCGTGCGAATCCGTGGTAGTGACGTCGCCGCGTGCATCTGCGTTGAATGCATCAGCCGCAACCCATGTGGTTGAGCCGGGTTCGTCACGCGTACCAACACACCCACCCCACCCTCCAACCCCGAGTAGAGAGAGAGGAGGGTGGTGACCGAGGGATGTGGAGGAGGCAGGAGAGGGGGCGGGGAGAGAATGAACGGTCGCATGCGACTGGCAGGAGAGAACAGTGGTGCTTATTCTATTGACCCCCGTATAGTTCGATAGGCCGCATTGCTACTTGACAGAACATTGCGCCTGCTAATTTCTGGGCCCGAACAGCTGAGCTGAGGAATCACCTTCAAGTGTTGTTCCAGCCTCGTACAGCCGGACTCACTCCCTCCCAATCACAACTCTTGGGGCTCTGCATACCTAAAGTTGCCAGACTTTGTCCCTTGTATACATTTGAAAAACGTAACTAAGCAGTGAAAACAGATAAATGACAACTTACATTTTATTCGCATAACATTTGTTTATTTCCATAACATTTATCACAACACAGGAAATAATTAAAATTCTTTATAATGAGTCACAAATATAGCTAACATTATTTTTAGTATTGTTTTTTTTTCATTTTTACACATAATTGCAAGCCTCAGATAAATTGAATTGTAAGGGCATTGTAGTGTGATTTCTCCACATAAAATATTTAATATGCATTTAATCCAAAAAACATCAATTATGTCACTGGAGCAGATACATTTATGGATACATAAAATTACTAATATGATTCACAAAGTTAAAATGTACAGTTAAAAAATTACATACATGATGGGTTGATTCTCATGGGTTTTTCATGCTCTAATGAATACAAATCTCTTCTCAGTGACGTTTAATAACCAAAGCTGCACGTGTGAATGTGTATTTTGAGGAAATATTTTGTTTTAGCAAAGAGTTTCATGACAACACAATACACATTATTTTGGCTGTACTCACGTAATAATAATAATAATCCCACACACTGTTTTGTAACTTCATAATTCAACACAGCCGTACAAAACGACACTGACTCGCAAATGTGATGCCTACAATGCCCTTACATTAATTAACACATGCACATTCATTTCTGCACCCATTCCGTGCGCGGTCACAGGAAAATGCCGCTTTCTTCAAAGGCCGAGCTACAGAGGCAATCACAGTCAATGCTGTAAAAAGCCACTGCACCTCGCCAGCACTCCCTTCCTTCTGCTAGGCCTCTCTCAGCCGTTGCACGGTTGACAACAAACCTCATGGTCACCACCACCAATGACTTTAACGTCTTCTGCTTAGTCGCTGGTCTCAGCGAAAGCTTTTTAAAGCATTTAACAACAACGGTAAATATTCTCGCTGGAAATGCAAAGCCTTCCATGCTTTAGGCAGGACTGCAGACGCATGTACGGATTTCCCCAAACTCGACAGCACTCACGGACATTTAAGGGACATGGCGACACGTTCGAGACACAACATTGGACTCCAAAGCAATGGGGGGGGGGGGGACACAGCGGAGAAGAATCTCGTGACCTCTCCTGCACTCCAATGCATTGTGACATTCAAGGGGGGATATTTACAGGAACACCAGGCAGACAGACGCACATGCACGTGATCTTCTGTGGAATGCTCGTATTGGGGTTTTGTTGTTGTTGAGAAATATCAACTCCCACCCGTTATGTACACACACACTATCGTTATTTACACGATGTACATGGCAAGTGCGTCTTAGTAGTAGATTAACAGGTTTAACAGTCACGTCACAGCACTATTCTCCAAAGATGCTGCTACTTCATTCATATAGCAGGGCAACTGAGGGGCGTTGTGGCAACAATCTTTCGAATCGTTGCCACTCTCTTCCCTTAGAAATGTGCTTTTTTTTTAAAGAGTAATTATTTTTTTTTGGTTGGCTCCACTAATCACTTCGATGCTGCGATGTGTTCATACACCGACATTGACAACATGGTTCTGTGTAAATCAATGACACTGATTCGTGACTTCTCCACTATTTGAGCTGCACAAACGTTCGACCTTATACTTTTTCAAATCGATGCGAAGATTGAAATCACCCAACGCTGTCAGTTGAAATGTGGCTCATTGTAAAACATGTTAATGGCTGATGGGTTTCTTCAAAGTTAAGCACAACTTCTTAACGACCTACAAGCTAGCTGTGGTTTAAATGTTTATATATATATATACATTCTTGCGGGAAATACGCATTTTCTCGCATGTGACCTGAAACGTATGACCTGTGGATTGTACCGATACCATTGAACTCATAGGCTTTTGCGACCAATATCATCCATAATAGAGGTTTTGGGGTTAAATCGCGTAAATTAATAACCCAAAAACCTCTAGTATGTACAATTTAACTGTTAACGCAGAGCAGAAGTCGGAACAACACTAAGCCCGCAAGCAATTACCGTGTCGCTCAAACAGCGTGTGTTGTTTGATTGGCGGCAATGAAACAACACGTGACATTGTTGGGAGGGGAATCACAAAGAGTAGCTCATGAAATATTTCCTAAATGGAATTCCATTGCCCACGATGGCATCGGTCGTTCAACATAAACCAACACAAGAGGACGTCACAATTAAATAAGCAATCATCCCAAGCAAATAGTAAAGCCCTGATGGGCAAGACAGCATTTCTTACAATGTTCTTTCCAGGCCAGCTATTATGTGATACTATAGTAGTGACAGATTCCATGTTTCATGGGAATTTTCCCCACGAGATTGTTGCCATTGCTGTGCATAGACTGTTACGGTCCTACGTTTTGCATATTATCTGGAAGCTCTGATGGCTCACTGGCTCGATCGCTCACGGCTCCTTATGCACATTCGCAAGCTGTCATCCATCCATCACGGTTGGGAACGAGACGTTGGTAACACGAAAGGGTTAACTATTTACACCACCACCACCACCACCCCTGCGTCGATGCCCTCATCACGTGGGAGCTCCGTTGTAAGAGGCTCACCACATTCGCTGGACACGCACACATTCATAACCCCTTGCGGGAACAAATTAACACAAGCATCGGGGGATATTAACAAACGCAGGCGCATTGGATGGCTGACCATGATGCCACCATAAATAAGGCAAAATTATTTAAAACGATAAATCAAATCCGTGTTACACAACCTCGCGCATCACTGAGTATTAGCGATTCAACTGTAGCCAGAGTAGACATGTCAGATTCTTTACAAAGGCATTTTGAAAGAGAAAGTACAACGCCGCCTGGACTAATGTTGGCTTTTGCTAAGCGAATTATCATTGCCCTTTAATGTAACAATTCGCCCGAAGGGCATTGTCAAGTTGACTCATTCAAGCCCATTCATTGCCATGTAAACGGAGTTTTGCATCACTGGAACAAACTATGCACGATCATACCTTGTTCTTTTGGTCGAAACGTTTAGAATGAATGTTGATGTGTGGGCTGAATAACATTTGAAGTGTCAAACAATTCAAAACGCATGCAAAAGTACACGTGCTATATACTTAAGTGCTCAATTGAGCAAAGGGTAGTTGCTCATCTCTTGTGGGGGGGGGGGGGGGAGAAACCAGTAGGAACAACAAAAAAACAGTAGTAACAAAAAAATAAACCAGTAGGAACAACAAAAATAAACCAGTATGGACGAACAAACTCCACATTTCTGTGGGCCCTGCCACAGAAATGTGAAATGAAAACATTGGTTTAGAATGTACCAACATAGTTGAGATCTGCTGCACCACACTCTATTGAGCAAGTCGGTCAGCGAGCCTCAATTTAATTTCGTGTCATTATCCACCACGATGGGCGAGTTTCAAATGAGTGCAGGTGAAACACATTTCCGATTTGCATCTATGTATGTATGTTGCACTCCTTTCGCACCGTACGTAGCCAACCGCGCTAATCCATCGGCAGTAATGAGCCGAGTTCCTGCAAGAGTGACGCAAAGTTAACACACACACAGACGTGTCCACACATCCACACACGTCCGTAGCAAACCGTGTAATTCCTGCGCCTTGAGCCTCAATGCGATCCCTACAAATCATTTTGTTTGAGAAGCCGAGTGACAACGGCTGAAGCTCCGATTCATTTCCTTTCTAAAGTCACTTTAATTACGTACAATACATTAGTCCATTCAAGCAATGCAGTGTTTATTCTAAATGAGCATGGAGGGTTTTGTATTGAACACAAATGTACATATAAGTATATTAGTCTATTATTATACATATCAAATAACAGCCAAGAGGGTTTCAGACAAATAAATTAAATTTTAAATAAATTAGTCACGCTAAATATAACTTTACATTTTTTTATATAAAATAGTTAAGTGTTTCCTTCCTTAAGCGAGGAAGAGACTGCCCTCCCTCATTCCCATCTCCAGCCTTAGTCCGATGATGGAAATTCCATATTCCTATGTCACGGTCAGTATATCCATAGGATAACCACTGCTGAGTTAATACAAAGTGGTAGCTGTGTTTTGCAGTCATTGACCACCGAGGAGTTGATGGATCACCTTACCTTGGTGAGTCGTGTAATCAAACCGCTGTACCACCTACCCAGCTTTAAATATAAAAGAGGCACGGTATTGAGTACATCTGTGCACACCTATAATGCGTTATTCTCTTGCCTAGCTTCTTCGCCGACTTCACATGTGCGACGATGCTTCACTTACAGACTACAGGCGTAAGCGCCGTTAGTAAGTCCCTATTGTGATCGGCATGGCAAACGAAGGGATTGGTGTGTGCAGCGCTGCCCACGCCTGACCGCCTTTGTATCCCTCTGTGCAGATGTTGGCACACCACCACACCAGGTGCTCATTTTGGGCTGAGTTAAACTTGGAGAGACCTGGGCCAGTTTTCAGACACGCAATGTGCTAAATACTCCACCACTGCTTCTCATTAAGCACACGCACACACACGCGTCAATATTGCAATCAAATGTTTCATACTTTGCGTGAAAATTAAAACTAAAAAATTGGCAAAACAATATTGCACATTTAGGCATCTTCAATTGACACAATATTGAACACAAACACAAAATACACAAATCGCACCTCCATCCTCATTTCGAAATGCAAAGCGAACTGGCACGCACGGCACACGAGTAGAGTCTCCCTGCTCCAGCGAGCACTGGGCGAGGGTGGCACTAATCTCCACCAGCCGTCAACATTTCACATTCCTATGACAGAGCCACTTGCAACGTCGGACGAGATCGCGAATAACGTTCTGAAAAGCTGTGCTCATTGTACATAGCCCGGAGCGGTGATGTGCCAAGTCAACCCTGGGGCAAAGAGTCAAGCGCGCAAAATCATCATCGCAAGTCAAGTGCGATATTCCGCACCTTAATATTAATGTACATTATTACACATCAATGGAAAACCCTGCGAAGAAAGGAGCCCTCGTCGAAGCCGGATACTCGAACCCGCGACGATCTCGGATTCTTCACGCACCGCAACGACGCTTGCAAGCGAGGCCACGCAAGTCACCACACAGCGTCTCGAGACGACGGCGCACCACAGCGACCGGCGCACGCGCGGGATCTTTGCTTTGCTGTCTTGTCTCGTGTGTGCCCGTGTGAAGAGGCCCTCGCAAAGCCACAAGTGTGGCGCTGTGACTCCCCTGACACTGGCTGGCAGTCGCTGCTGCACACACAAGATAAGACAACAAGCAAAGATCCACGTATCGGCCGAGCAGACTGTTGGGGCAATTGCTGTTTGCACACACGCACGCACACATGCACACACGCATGCACACATGCGCAATGTACCATGTGGATTTGTATCTTGGCTCTGTTGAAGGATTCTTTATGTTGTTCATTGGTAGAGGTAATTGGCGGAGGAGCTGTAGCCTTTATAATGTATCGCTATGTATTTTACCCAGGAATGCCTCACTGAGTCCACAGGATGTGTCGGTGTTTGATTACGGGTCGTAGATGGAGTACCTGGAGAAGACCCACACGGCAAGTTTAAGTCAGGAACCCATTTGCTGTCCTGACATCTTCCGGCCACCTTGCACACTGCCATGTGTTGGACAGTGGGAGCACACCACGATCCATCGCTGTGTGATCCACAAATCCCACCTCCCAAAGCGTGCGCTACCTCGCCAGGCTTGATGTTAAGTAGGTGGTCATCCACTCCCGTGGGTTATAAATCTGTACATCTCACATCCCCCGTATCTGGAGGGGTAAACAGATTCTGATCAGTGGCGCTTACCCGCATTCCAGCAAAAGGCAAAGGTGCAGCCCTGCAATGCCATGACCTCGCCCCATCTCTACCACCGCCCAGAGGTGCAGTGGCGTGCGTGTTCCCTGTTCTTGCACATGCACCAGGGGCGAGAGTGCCCGCGATATACCCCACCACGCACGACTCTCCGTCACTTTACTCAGAGTGCTGGGGGTGCACAGACGCAGTGGGGGTGGGGGGGTTAAGAACCCAGCCTGGCCGGTTTCAACCACTCCCTGGACAACACCACAGCAGCATCCGTACCAGTATACAGCACCTCACCTAGCCACGCTTTCCTGGGTAAAATTGGTGTTAAGAGTAATAATTATATTATAATTGTAGATGTGCCCTTGCTCGCTATAATATTATTATAATATAACATGTAAATGATTATTATTAATATCTGCAATGTCCGCACGTGATAAGTGACCACCTTTTGTACGTATAACTTCATGAAGCAAGGTTCTGCTGCGTGATGGGCCGTTGTTGGCCTGTCGTGGGGAGTGAAGCGTAGAGCTTTGGATGAAATTGATTTGAGGCAAAAGAGGCGAGCCAGAGGGCAGAATGTAGAAAGAAAATGGATCGCGATATGTTACGTAAGGTACGCTCCAAAACGACGATAAATCATGCAGGAGATATTTTGAGATGCGTGGACGCTGAACATTGAAAATCGTACAAGTGGGGAAGAGAGGCTTGGGAAATGGCGCTGGTAAGAAGTGTGCTCTTGCTTGCGAAAGAAAGTCGAAGGCAAAACATCTTGAGATTTCGCAAGGACGAATATTGTGGACTTTTTTTAAAGTCGAGGACACGTTGCCAACGATGGGTGATGGACTAAAGAAGAATGTGAGCAGGACGCAGCACTTTGGAGAACTGAGTTTGTCAATGAACTGAGTTTGTCAATGAACTGAGTTTGTCAATGAACTGAGTTTGTCAATGAAAAGCAAAGTGCAAATGTGTTTAAATGAATAGTTGCCAATCAGTGCATATTACCTAAAATGATATATGGATCCGAAATATGGAAAATTACTAAGAAAATGGAACAAATGTTGAATTGTGCACAAAGAAAGCATGAAGAGATGTATGTTGTGAATTACACTGAGATACGTGGAGAGGAACAAACACGAATTACATGTGTTGTATGGACTGTTAAGGAATGTGGATTTGGGCAAGACGCACCACAAGAATAGATGCTGACTGATGAATGAGACTGGTCATGAAATGGGAGCCAAAAGATGTGTCACGGTGCAGATTAAGCAATTCGGTCAGTTTGTGTGCACACTAGAGATAGCTTGTGGCATTTTAGAACTGTGGCGTTATTGTGGAGATGCCTTCATCCAGCAGTAAGTAGGCCACAGCTGATGATGCAGGTTTAAAGGCTTCGTTCCATGAGATCGAGGGACAGATCCATTCCCCATGAGGTCACCAGAAGACTTGCGTATTTCAGCCATTCCACAACGTGTAATCGTGCTGCCGTCCTGCAAAAGCGATGGAATAAAACGGTGTCAACATGTTTAGTGTGAACCATGAACTTTTAAATAAAATATTGAAACAATTGAAGATATAGTTCATACAGCAGCTCCAAGCACGTGAAGAAAAAAAAGTACGTTAGCCGATTTGACTAAAATGTTTTATCAATTACCTTGGTTGTCAATTACTAGGGCCCCATAAAAAAATGGCAATCGCCCCGACATCCTGCCTCCTGAAGGTGGGAAAACCCCTACAAGCCACGCCCACCATGACTCAGATGATGATGCCGATGGCCTCACCAAGCCCTGCCCATCACCTCCAGTCCAGCGGCACACGTGGGAACAGAGGTGAGCCTTTTTCCCCACAACAATTTTTGTGGATTCGTCGAATAATCAAACTAATAATCGGTAGAGTAATCAATTACTTGATTAATCTGATAGCCCAGCTCTAGAAAATGCGTGAATATAAATAAAAAACATGCAAATGAAATCCTTACCTTTGATTGGCTGGCATGGCACCACAAGTCTGCGCGAGTGTTCACGGGCAACAGTCTGAACCCCGGTCTCACTGAACCAGTTTCGAGCGGCAAAGTGGCTCCGTGTTCTTTAAACTTTGCTGGAAACAATGAAACAGACGCACAATGGAGAATGTTTAATCGAGTCTGTGAATGACGAGAGAGAGAAACGCATCCTCCCAGAAATATAGTCCAAGCTAGAAAACCACAAGTTTAAAACAACACACGACAATGTGTGAAAAGCTCCCCTCTGTGCATTATGCAAACATAGGTCACCATGAAAATACATTTGAGCAAATGTGACCGATACAAGGGAGAGACAACTGTAGATCGGTGTCAGCCTTATTAGGACTCATCAGCACAGGGTGATCACCAATGTTTAGGGGCTCTGGGAACCATCTATTAATCATACAAATGATGCAATTCATAATGCGCACAATATATTACAGAAATAAATAATCGAGCCTCTGAGGTTTGGAGCCAAGCTCAGTGTCCCTTGGATAGAAATGTGGGGCCTTGAAGTGTCTCCTCTTATAAGTTGGTGTGGATTGAACGCTGCTGCTGCTGCTGCTGCGAATGTGCAGCGGGAGGATGTTGATGATGGTGGTGGTGGCTGCTACAGAGAAATGACGCCCGGCAGTGATGGTCCCAGTCCTTTGTGCAGACAGGAGGAGGCGTGCGAGTGGCGCTGCTGCGGAGAGTTCCACCGTGAGCTGTGGTGCCAGGAGACAGGTACTAGGGGGAAGACGGTGGTTGAACACAACAAGGACTGTCAGAGGCACAGGCAGAAGGCGATGTTGTCGCTGTCCCTGCTGGCGACGTGACGCCAGCGGAGGGAGTGTCAGGGCGTCTCGCCGGGGACGGCAGGCGCCGGAGACGATGCGGCCGAGTTGGTTTTGCGACCATTGGAGTTCCTGGAGGTCACTCGACGAAGGTCGGACAGGAAGGGAGTCGAGGCGAGATCCAACGACGCTGCCGACGAGAGTGGTGGCGACTTCAGCGGCGACGAGCGGCCACGAATGGCGCAAGGCCCTGGGGTGGTCGTCGCCAGAGTTGCTGGTGGTGCGGTCGGTGTAGCGGTCGAAGGGTGAAAGGAGGCCCAGTCCAGGGTGGCGCCGAGGAGCTCGAAGTGCTCGGAGCATCGGGACGTGGACTTGAACCCAGCCACTCGGCATTGCTGGCTCAGCGCTTGATCACAGTCGTTGCACTTTCTATGAGCCACTAAACCAGCGGTCCCCAACTTTTTTAGCACCAGGGTCCGGTTTCGTGGAAGACAATTTTTTCATGGACCGGGGGGGGGGGGGGGGCGGGGTTCATCATTGGGTATTTCCCCCTTTTCAAAGAAGCTCTCCAGCTACGTTTGTTTTTTACTCATTCTGGCTAGGGGGTTAGCAGCTTGTGGGCTCACCAACACTCTGACTGAGACAAGTGCGCAGTGCGGGAAAGAGGCGCGGATGTAAGTGGTAAATAAAACAATGGGGGCGGGCCACGCGCGGACCCACCACTCACCTTCTGCTGCTGTGCGGCCCGGCTCCTAACAGGCCATGGGCCGGTGCCGGTCCGCGGCCCGGGGGTTGGGGACCCCTGCCCTAAACCACCTCCCCATCCTAGTACGCACTTATACAAATACATCGATGCAAACCCGCCCGTTGTACATTCATCAATGCGAATTCCGTTAAGTATTTTAAAAACGGCATACATTTGGGACACGACTGCACTCTGTGATAGCTGGCGCCGAACTCTGCCACACGCCTTCTCGCGTGGCCCTTTCCTTCCGACTCCGTTCCGTCAAAACTGATGACGTACGCGCACGCATATGTCATCGCGTATGCGTGCGTCGTTCCTTGTCACGGTCAAATCCCCTCTTTGTCCTGCCCACGTTAACGTGGCACAGTATGTCCAGTTGCCGAGTGTTCTATACCCCCCATTACTAAGTGGGTGTTTTTGCAAGCGTTTGGGAAGGGTATAATACTTGCACATTAGGCGATTGCTTTAATGTAATTCAGGCGCGCCTTATCCATTATTAGAAGGAAATGCAAACAAATTATTGGCCATTTTGTGTTTCCTTATAAATATCATGATTACCATTAACATAACTCCTGAACCCGAGCTATAAATGCTTTGGTATTTGCATTTTCCTTGTACTGCTCGCTTTTTGGGGGTCTTTTGGCTAGCACTGGTGAGACAATGCCAGGAGGCTGTCTCTGGTGCACGCCAAGCGGTGGGATTTTACACAAAGTAGTATCTTTTTTATCGACCTCAGAGGGATAACAATGGGCCGAGCACTGGCTATGGTGGTGCATGCCTGGAACCCAGTTGACGCGGTGGCAGGGTTGATGGATCATGCAGAGATCATCATCAGCCATGATCTATCCACTGCTGGATAAACGCCTGCCCAAACCGTCATCACCGTGGCAGGAGGAGCGTGCCAACCAGTGACCTGCTGCCACAGTGATTGCTTATTTTGAACACGCGCTGTTTATGCTAATCATGAGCAACGTCGCGTTCCAAGCCGCCAATCCTGCACCACCACCACTGCCCCCACCTTGGCGACGTCAATGTGCGCCGTGCACCTGATCCGGGAACGCAAATTGGCCGTCTCTGGGCCGAGAGCCAAGAGTCATGGAAACGCAGCATTACTGTATCCTACCATCTGGTATGAGAGGTACTGTATTTTGTTTGGTAGATGATGTATTATTATGATGCTTGTTTGCCTACCAAAGCCTCAAACTCAAGAGTCTCAAGAGTTTTTGCAGTAGGGGGATGGAGGAGGGGTGGGGGGCGACGATTGTAACGCGTTTCCCAACAAAGTAATTTGCGGTGTCATTTAGAAAAAAAATGGCAAATTCCATCCACGACGCCGGCACGCACGCGCACAAAATGGCTACTCTTCTCCACATGACGTCACGAGATCCTTTGCTTCTGCCCATTCCCCGGCACCTCCGATTGGTAACGATTGGCTACGTACGGTGCGATAGAAGTTCAACATACAGTGCATAGTCTCCCGCGAAACATGCGGCGCATAGTTCACGATGAATGCATCCGCAGTGTTAACCAGGGCAACCGGCTGAGTCCGAGCGGCCAACCTCAGCCACAGGCGGGGAACGTTTTAATTCTCTGGGTGTCAATGCAGCACCGTGGTTTACTGGTGACACGTGTCCCACCCATCACGTGTCCCACCCATCACAACCCCCTGTGCCCTCCCCCCAGTACATTTTAGAAGTTCACGAATAAATGGCAAGTGACGTGACACGTTCTTATCTGAGATAAGTCCGTCTCAAGGAACGGCGACACACCGGTGCCACGGTGGGGAAAGGCCCCACGGTGGCGAGACGTTAACTACCTCGCCTGGTATGCAGGAAGTCGTGGGATCAATCCCAATCCTTCATGCCTGTATATTTGGAGTTTGCATGTCTCTCTCTCTCTCTCCTCGTGGTCGCATGGATTTTTCTCCGGGTCCTCCGGCTTTTCCCTCCACATTTAGAACCACGCGTTTAGATTATTTGGCTGCGATACATTTCCACACGATAAGCCACTTCGTGGGGCTATCATTTGTGGCCAGGTCACTTCTGATAAAAGAGCTATTTAGCTCAGTGGGCCTTACTTGGTAAAATACAAAATAGTTTCGTTTACAGTCATTTTATTACGGAGAAAAGATTGCAAACGGGTGGGACCGATGATAACGGCGACGCCTGCTATAATAATATACATTTATAAAGCACCACCTTACAGCCACGTCGCGGTGCAATCGACCCATCGATTGAAATCGATTCCCACGCTCACGATACGCGCGTAGAATTGTGCGAGCAGGAGTACATTTTGTGTTCGAGTGCACTGTAGCTAATTGCTTCCCGTGACCCCCTGCAGCCACTGGATTTACCAAACAAATGTTGATTCTCGAATGCAATTGCGACCACCGAATTGTAAAAACCAAAACAATTATCGAATCGTGATGAGAGCGAATCAGATGGTGAGATTTCGTCGGGCAACAACGGTTGCGCTGGGCGCGACACGAATGAGGAGGGCCGGTTACGGAGACCGCCACTGGGGAGATGTCCACGAGAGTCCAGGGAGCAAGGGGAAGCGACGACTCCCAGGGCACATTCTGTGGGTCACGTGTCGACCTTACAGCAGCCGTGGGATCTGGCGGAGGGTAGAGAGCACTGGCGAGGCGCGGTGACATCAACGGCTTTGGCCACGACGACATCTGTAAATGTTACAGAGATCCTCAGTCCGAGCCCTTGGTTAGACGTTCAGCCATTTTGTCCATCCATTGCTGGATGAGGGCCTCCCCACGCCATATGAGTCACGGGGATTATTTGACATCCACTTGCACTGGCCTCGACTGACAATCGCCACGCCACCAATAACTGCAGAACATATTTCACTAAAAATATTTTTCATGGGCCCATGGCTATTTGTCTACAAGTTTAATTACTGTGTATGTTATTTCTCACGTAATTTTGCCAGGAAGTAAAATAGGAAGAAAAAAAATCCGACTATGTTTAGCAAATCGTACGATATGATCATTATCGCGGGCCCTGTATGGTACAGTGTAGCACAGTGCCGCCACATCGTGGTGACCATGCATGGCTATGTAAAACAGATCCTTGAGGGGAAATGCGCAAAGCCCTCTGATGGCTTATTCTCTGTGCCGTCAATGGGAGATCCAAAACAAATATTAACTCTGTGCATTTGCTCAGTGCATACATTATTCGAGGGGGATGTAATTAGTGACATTTAGTTATTTATAAATAAATATCGAAAGACAGCCCTGTGCACAATTACACACACACACATCTGGTGCCACAATATTGCAATATCTGAATCATAAGGTAAAAACCGACAGGCAAACTGCATTACAGGAGGCCGAGCAAAGCCCACGAACGACAAGGCTGATCTACTCCGCCAAGTTATTGTCCTAGAGGGCAGCAGAGTCGCTGTTTATCCGCACCTATGATTCATTAGCACGGTTGAACACGTACGGTGCGAAAGAAATTGACCACAGACATTCATCGGGGTCATAACTGAATCAAACACATGAAATGTGCCCAAAGGTACAAGCATTAATTCATCATAATAATGGCCATTTTCTATCCAC